TGAGCACCGGCATGCAAAGCAAAGAGCTGCTGGTTCCATCCCTGGTCGGGGCGCACACCTGGGCTGTGGGCCCGGTCCCCAGGTGGGGCACCTGGGAGGGGCAGCTGTGGGAGTGTTTCTCTCACACATCATGTTTCTCTCCCTCTCTTTAAAAAAACAATGCCCCGGCCTTGTCACACCACCCTTACAGGGCTGGTCGGCCAGGTCAGGGGGCAGAGTAGGCTATCATTTAGTGTGGAAGAAGATGATGAGTTTCTCAGAGAAAAAACATTCCAGCATTACTATACAGAATTTATCAAACATTCACAGCAGATAGGTGATGTTGGGAATGGAGAACTTCAAAGAATTGCAGCTAAAGCCCCAAGTTGGAGACAAGAGACTCTAAGTAACCCATTTTCTGTATTTGGATTGCTGTAAATCATCTAGTAGTCGCTGGGGCCAGAAGCCTGTCTGCAGAGACCGTTCCGAGGAACCATTCCTGATGGATTGAGGTCCTCCATCCCACCAATATGAAAACAAGACTCAGCAGAAAAATGCAGAGTTAGTAATGAGAAATGATTCCCTCCCCTTCCAAACCTCCCTTCCTTCTCCAAAGAACCAATGGTAGAGTATGGGGTGCCTTCAAGTCATCAGGAGTCTACACATTGGCCAGACCCATTCTGCTGACCTGTGACAGGCTCCGTTGGTGTCCGAGGGGCTTGCTTATGCCTCTACAATCAGCCCGAGATTGGCAGGGAGCTGGCTGGGCTAAGATGGCCTCAGCGGGATGGTTGGCTTGGTGCCATGCTCCGGCAGGCCAGCCTGAGCTTGTTCTCACGGTGGTGGTGGTAAGGGTCCAAGAGAAAAAAGTAGAAACACTCAAGTACTTCTTTGGACCTCTACTTGAATTTTTCTTGGGGGCCAAGCTCAGAGTCAGTGTCAGTGTTGGGTGGGGGGTACAAGGGCCAAGGGCACAGGGAAGTGTGAAAAACTGGGGTCACTAATGCAATCAGTCTGCCATATTTACCGAGTGGGAAAGGAGATTCCACACAGGAGAGGTAAGTGCAGTTATTAGAAAAAATAAAACCATTTCACATTTATACTCTGAGGGGCAAAGACCCCAGAATCAACAGGTCACAGCTGATTTGGGTCATTTCATTGGCTCCTGAGCAGGAGACTTTCTTCTGTATGTCCTTCCCAGTGCACGACTTCAACAGACATCAGTTTTTAGTGATGCCTGGTGTTTTAATTTGGGGGTCACACTGAACTTGAATATATTTCACCTCCGTAATAAGTAAATTGGTAGTATCTAAATTTGATGCATCAGGAGAAAGCTATATACATAAAATGGATATAAATTGGAGATGAATGCCAGGAGACATCATAAGGCAAATTGCAAGTGGCTGCCTCTGGGTAGGCCGGTCAGAGTATGGGGAGGGGAAGGGCTGCTGGTTTTTGGTGTATGTGTATTTTAGTGCTATTTGATTTTCAAGCGGTGTGCTATATTACTGTGTTACGGTGAGTAATAACTTTTTAAAAGGAAAGTCCAAGTTAAAGTACCACCACTGTGCTGTTATTTATATGTAATGTTTCATTTAATTTAGTCTACCCAATATCCCTATAAATTAGCAATTGTTACTTCTACTTCAGAGGAGACATATAGTCTTAGAGATATAAAGTGACTTGTCCAAGGTTGTAAGAGGCAGGGTCAAGATGGAAATTCAGGTGTGTCTGCTTCCAAAAAGTACTGTCTTAAATCCTAACCTGTAGTTTAATATTGAATTCATCCATTTAGCAGCTGACATTTAATCTGCTCCCTTCCAGAGGCCCACGCTATTATGCAGTCAGCATAATGGAACTGGGACATATGTATCTTTCCCCTACTAATAAACTTTCGTTGCTTCTTTTAAAAAATGACATGGTGTCTGCTACTTGGGGGGAAGCATTTGGGCATTCCGCCGGCTGGATTGACTATATATATCCAAAAACGTGTGAATGCCTGCAGTTCCCCCTGCAGGCCAGGGCTGGGCACTCACTTGGGTAAAGACAAACTTCCTGCTTCAGTGAGGCTACAGGGTGGGGTTGTGGGACACAGCCTTTGAGCACCAAGTACCGGGTAAACAGTAACTAACAAATGGAGGTGTGGAGCTGTGCACAGGGTTCCGGAGTGTCTCAGATGAAGCCGTCGTGGCTGGGAGGGTGTTTGGTTGGACCAAGAGGGCTTCATAGGACAGGCCATGGCTTCCTAGTGCTGGGGCAAAACAGGGACACAGGAAACATCATAGGGCACCATGTACAACTGGACCCACTGAGAGGCTGAGGACAAGATTTCTTTTCCCCATTTGGTAATTTTGGTAGGTTTCTGGTTGAGTAATAAAATAATTCGCTTGGAGCAAAACTGCTTCAGAAGAATAGATGTGATGTGTGAGATTTAGAATCCTTTTGATTACACTTATCTAGAAAAATCACTAAAAAGTTAATATTCAAATTAAGTAATATGATTGTTTAACCTGAATAATATTGAGTAGAGAAGGAAAACCTGAAAAAAGATTGAGAAGCTACATTTTAAGGTAGTCCAAATAGATACTCTATTTAAGACTGCTGAAACATTCAAACTTTTCAAATAAATGGTTTCCTCATTTTTCACCATCAGCCCACTGCCCTACCTCCCACTCCTACTGTGTATGAAGATTTTATCTGCCAACCACGCTGTCCCCCCTTTTACCACAGCTGAGACCATCAGAGTGCTGATCGGCATAACTTTCTGGGTTAATTTTGAGACAACAAAGGAAACCGTGGACTAGTGCAACTTTACCACTGGTGTTTCTAGCAGGATTTCTTTAACTTTTATAGTAGACTGAAAACAGCTCCTGGCCCCTTTATGGGGGTTTTTGTGGGGGGTTAGAGAGCTTGGTTTGGGGGCTTCTTTCTGAAACTTTTGGTCCATTAACATGTCCCATTTCCACTGTGTTCATGGTATTTAGTGGCTCGAGGATGAAGTACTGGATTGAGGAAAGCTTGGATTCACTTCCAGCACAGTATCTGCCATCGTCTCCTAACAGCCTGGTCACTCCATTCTTTAGCTCCCTTTCTTATTTATACTTGACATGCTTGGGGAAGGGTGCTATGAATGAAAAGTACAGCCAACATGTATTAAAAAAACGAGAAAATATTTTAAAACATGGCATTTAAAAGTGAAGAACTTCAATATATAAATTATTCTAATCAAAAGTGTTACTGACTCTATGTTTGTTAATGAAAAATAAACAAATGTGAACCTTGCTTAGTTGCTGTCCCATTGAGACCCCCCAAAGTTCATTAAAAGTTACATTTGAAAACCTTAAGTCGTGTTTTGTGAATGTCGTGGGTCTGACCTGTTACTTACTCTACTCCAGCTGAACCACTATCCAGAGAGTAGTCAGCGTTCACAACTAAGCTCCTAAGGACAGCCGAAATGAACCTTTTGTGTCAGCCATTTACAACCTCAACTCCGATGCATTTAGTTTATTCCCTGTAAGAATGCCACATACGTACTTGTCGGGAGCTGACCAACAGCCAGCTCTTGACGCAGTCGGGATGGATGAGATGCATCTGCACAGCAGAGGCAACTGTGGCTGGATTTCCTATCTGTCCCTTGCATGTTTGTCTTTGTGATTAATAGGTGGTGGAATTTTTAGACACCTGTATTTCAGGTCCAATGATCCACATAATTCCAATGAAGTTATACAAAATGATTTCTTGGCCAGAGAACAAAGTTCCCCCTAATGAAGTAGCCCCTGAATATCTAAAAGTTGAAGGAGTAACAGACCCTCTTCTACCTTAGACAAGAATATGTATTAATTAGAAGTAGACAGGCAAAGAAACAGGAGAAGCTGGTTAGCTACTACAAACTAAGCACATAGAAACAATTACCAAGGAGTCAGAGTCCATATTACAAAGAAACATTTCAGACAGAAAGATAGTCAGACATCACAAAGGCCTTATAATGAATTTCCTAACCTCTGCTCCGTCTAGCGTACCTTTTGCCCCATGCCAAATTCTACACCTTTAATAAACAATAAGATATTCAAAGTCTGTACATAGAGCTATTTCAAATTGTTTGATTAATGGTTCTCCTGGTCAAAACAACCTTTGTTTAACATAACTGAAACTATGGAAGTTCTCGTACTTTTCCTGGTTACCTTTGTAATGTTTTTTTCTGCTTAACTGATCATGCCATGCACCTGTTCCTTCTTTTTTTAAGACTTTATTTATTTATCTTTAGAGGGGAAGGGAAGGAGAGAAGGAGAGAAATATCAATGTATGCTTGCCTTTCATGCGTCCCATGTTGGGAACTGGCCTGCAACCCAGGCATGTGCCCCAACTGGGAATCGAACTGGGATCTTTGGTTCACAGGCTTATGCCCAATCCACTGAGCTACACCAGCCAGGGCGCAACTGTTCCTTTAATGTTATACAACAATCTCCATAAAAATAAAGCCTAGATCAAACTCTGAAAGTTCTGACAGACCCTCAGAGGCTGGCTGTTCTCGGCATCCAACCAGGTGTCTGACTCTTCATTCATCACCTGCACCGTCCATCCTTGGAGGACCCTGAACCCTGCCGAGGCTGGACTTCGCCACCTACTTGTGATTCCTGGTAATCCCTTGATTTTTTTTTCTTAAATACAACTGCTATTCTCTATTAAAATTTTCAGATATCTCTGGACAAGAGTGGAGTAGTTTGCAAAACTTATTAAGTACGCGTATGCAATTCTCAGGAATGGTGAGCCAAACGGCCCGTCCGATCTTCTCCGTGGGAATCAGACCCAGACCTGCTGAGTCCAAAACACCTGGTGGTTCTGAATTCCCCGCTGACCTCCGACCCGCTGAAGAGAGAGGCCTTCGATCCCCGGTCCTCCCCAAACCCTCCCAAGTCCGGGCTGCACAAGAGCGCGGGCACTCTGGACATTCAGCTACCCTGGCCTCCGCTTCCCGGTGCCCGCACAAGAGGGCGCTGGTCGGAGGTGCTGGTGCACGGCGGCCCCGGGGCGGCCGGGTCCCCGAACTCCAGAGGTCCCGGCCTCGCCGCCAACGCCCGGACCTGGCGTGTCTCCGGCGCCGTGAAAGGGGGGCAGCGAGGAAGGTCGCGGGGCAGGGAGCCGTGCTGGCAAACCTGGGGCGCACGGGGAGAAAGAGGTGCGCAGGTCTGAGAGCAGCGAGAACGAGAAGATCGGTGACTGAACCAAGAGAGAGAGGCGAGCAAGGCCTGAGGGTAGGAGTGAGAGTGGGGGCGACGGCGGATAACTTCTCGCGAAGTTTGGACTGGGGAGGGATGCGGCTAGCACACCCGGGCGTCGCCCGAGGGCCGTGGTGTGGTGCAGTTGTGCTGGTCCGGCAAACCTCGCGAGAGGAAGCGTGAGCTCTCTCGGCGTCGAGGCGGGGTAGGCGGAGCCGTTCTGGAGAACGTGGATGGAGGGGGAGGGCCTTAGCAGGTGGGGCGTGGCAAGGACGGGGTGGTGCGGACAAAACGCACCAGAAGTGGACGGTCCTGTGCTAGGCAGGGGCGGAGCGAAGGAAGAGGCGCCACGGTCGGTAGGGTGAGTGGGGCAGCGCCAAGGGGTGGAACGGCGACGGAAGGGGCGGGGCTAAGGGTGGTGCGATCCTTTGTGGTTAAGGGCGGGGGCAAACGAGGACGACTGCTTTCAGCACCACGGACAGCAGCGGGGGGTGCTGGTCTGGCAGCGCTCCTCGGAGCTGTGCGGCCTCCGGACACCGAGGTCTTTTCTGATTGGGAGAGAAAGAAAAATCTTTTCAGCCTGTAGAGGTGGAGTTGGCCGGTTGGGGCAGAGATGCTGGGCTCACCATCGCTGGGTGGTAGCTGTCCATACTCTCGAGGACCGGGCCTGAGGAGGCACGAGGGCAGCTGCTCAGCGAGGGTCAGACCGGGCGCAGGGAAGCCTGGTGGCGGCGGGAGAGGACCTGCGGTGTGGACACTAGACTGGAGGCAAAATGTGTCCACTGCAGACTGTAAGAATAGATGCAGACCTTTACTTCTGCAAGTTATATCTAAGTAGGCAGATCATTAAAAGCCTCTAAAATAGACTTGAAATATGCCTCTACTAAGCACCAGCAATTAACAACCCATTACTTGTGTATTTTGGATATCAAAAACCTGTGAACACAGAGAGAAAAGGGCTCCTGATAGCAAACTGGGCTAAAGTTTTTAAAAACGGCTAACAGTCATTTCTGCACGGGGCCTTCCAGGTGAACTGCTCTTTAGGGAGGACAGTGTCTTTGGGGCCAATCAGACTGAGATTTGGAAGTCCTCATTTGCATAAGGACAGGCCAATCAGGGACCAGCGGCAGGGACTCCTGTCCGTATTACCCAGCTCCCTTCTGGCACTGAAAGTGCACTTTCCATTTCTGGATCAGTATGGTTACCCAGTTGAGCAGAGTTTCCCCCAGAAACGAGTGAAGCAGCCTAGTGCAGACCAGAACAGACTGGCACCAGGCAGAGCAGACCCACGTAGGACCAGGCAGAATGGCTCAGAGCAGAACAGAACAGAGCAGACTGGTGAGGAGCAGCAGCACAGCTGAGCTGTTTCCCCTGAGGGGGGCCTGGCCCCTGGGCTGCCTCCTGACAGTGTTGTTTTCACAGCCCCGCTGGATCTCAGTTGAGCTGTTCCAGAGCCATGCTGCTTTCACATCTGGTTTGTATCGCAGCTGGGCTGTTTTGCACTAAATGAACTTTACTTCACTGCACCCCAAACTGGGGACTGCTGTTGGCACTGACTTTGATACAGGGTGCAGCCAGGGGGGGCCCCAAAAAAAAGATTTAGAAAGGTGTCCAGAATTCAAAGTGTATAGGAATATTGGAGAGACATATAAGATGTCCTCACCGCCCCCCCCCCCCCAGGGGGAAGGGATGAATGGAGCCAGGCCATTGAGAGCTATTTTGCATAGCAACAGTTTTGGAGCTAACCTCTGGAGGAATGGTTATTTAACATATCTATAACCTTTAACTGGTTTCATAGATATGTTAAATAGCAGTGGCCAAGTTTGGAGCCAAGGAGAAGGTAGTGGGATGGGGACTCAAGAAGGAACTAGCAGGGACTCAGGATGGAACTAGGAGGACTCAAGATGGGAAATAAGGGCTGCTCTCCGGAGTGAGAAGGGCTTGGACTCTGAATGTAACGAGGGGCTGCGCTCCTGAGTGGGAAGTCCTGAGAGAGAGCCATGCGGTTTCAGCAGAGTGAGGACCCCCTCTAGGCGAGGTGAAAGAGGGAGCCACGTGGTTTTGGCAGGGTGTGGACCCCCTCTTTCCCAGGTGAAAGGGAAAAACCATGCAGCTTTGCCAGAATGGAGATCCCTGCAGCCAGGTGAAGAAGAAAGCCACATGCTTTTGGTGGAGTGCGGACTCCTGCAGCTTTGGTAGAAGAGGCCCACGCGGCTTTGGGGTGCCCCCTTTGGCCGCGTGGCCTGAAAAAGCAAGAGAGACTTTGACTGGAACTGGGTACAAAGGACTCTTGCCAGTGGACCGTGAGAGGGTACCACAGTACTTTGGATTAACTCGAGATCCTGCCTGCACGGTGACACAGCTGACGGTGCCAGCGGCCTGAAAAAGGGACGTGTGCTCTTTTCCTGATTTACGGTACCCGGAGTTGGGACAGTGGGAGAAGGGAGCGCTGTGTGGGTGTAGGTGTATACCCTAAAGGACTTTGATATTTTAGTGGAGGCATTAGGCCTGAATAGCATTAAATAAAACATTTTGTTTCCTTTTCACAAATCTCTGGCATTAAGAGATGTCTTTCCAATTGGCGGCGGACAGAAGGGCCCAGTAGATTTTAGTATTTTGGTTTTTGGGAGGGGCCCCTGTTGTATAGCAGTTTTGGGCATCCCTAGGTGGGCCAAATATTGTATTGCCCCTCCCTCGGACCTCCTCTTGTTCGGTAACAACTTGGCACCAGCGACTATCAGTTGACAAAAATCTTACTTCATATAGCTTTTAAAAGTAAATTGTGTTAAGATATAACAGGAAAAGTGAATAAATGATATTTAACCTGATGAATGTTCACAAGTGAACACACCCATGCATGTAACTAACAGAAAAAGAAACAGAATATTCCAGACCCCAGAGGCTGCCCTGTGCTTGCCTTCCTTACCAACACCCTTACCGTGCGCCTCTTAAATTGTATCTTTTTCAAGTTCATTTTACAAGTTGGTAAGTAGGTGATTGTCACAAGTTTCACTCCCAAATCTCCATGTTATTAAAAGAGGAAGCTGACCTCTGGTTAGACCTTCAACAGGTGACAGTTCAGCTGTGATTTAGTGATTTTCAGTGTTCACTATCTTTATTATCATTTTTACCCTTTTTGTCTGAAATATTATGGGTTTTCATTTATGGTAGCCATATAAAATTTCCTTTTAGCTAAATACACTTAAGTAAAAAATGTCAGTCCATTCAATGAAAAATAGCATTAACAGGTAGATATATAGTTTTTTTTAAAGATGATTTTCCAATAACCAAAATTTAGGAAAACTGGTACAGTTATGGAGGACTGACACTGGACCCAGAGTGACTCAGCTGGGAATCCCAGTCCCACCTTTTCACTAACCTCACCCTCTGCAAATACCTAATTTCTCTGAGCCCCAGTGTTCTCATCTGTGAAATGGGGTTGAAAGTTCCTGCCTGCAAAGGAAATTGGCAGCTGTGAGAGAGCAGAGAAAGCCCTTGTCCTTCTGTGGACCCTGTGTGTACAATGTGCTACATACAGTAACTACTTTTCTAATACCTGAAAGTGGTCCCTACATCAGTATAGAATCTTTTTTACAATATAACATTTCCTTCTCTGAAGGAATTGTAACTAGGTTGTATTGTAGCCAGGATGCATGGGAGGCATGACCTGTGAATAACCTCGCCTCTGGTTTTCAACCCAAGAAACAGTATTATTTTAACTCTGACTTGTGCAGTAGAAAAACAAACCTAAAGTAACTTTCTCAAGTTATTAAAGAGATTTCAGCCCTGGCTGGTGTAGCTCAGTGGATTGAGCACTGGCCTGCAAACCAGAGGACTGCAGTTCAATTCCCAACCAGGGCACATGCCTGGGTTGCTGGCCGGTTCCCAGCAGGGGACTCACAAGAGGGAACCATACACTGATATTTCTCTCCCTCTCTCCTTCCCTTCCCCTCTAAAGATAAATAAATAAAATCTTTTTAAAAATTTAAAAAAAAACCAAGATTCAAGCGAACCAGTATTTTCACATTAAATCCTCTAGCCTTAGAATCTTATCTCACACCAACTGGTGCTATTTTAACTTCTGCCCAATTTTTTCCTAAATAGCTAAATCTAAAGATCCCTTATCAGAGAGACATCCAGCAGCCTTAAAAAGTTGCTGAATTAGCTTAAAACATTGCTTCTGTTCCTTAGAGAGCCTGTTCTCCACGATTGAGGATGGCAGTTCGATTCCCTGTCAGGGCATGTGCCTGGGTTGTAGGCCAGGTTCCCAACTGGGCCACAAAAGAGGCAACTGATTGATGTTTCACTCACACATTGATGTTTCTCTCCTCCTTCCCTCTCTAAAAATAAAATCTTTTAAAAACTAAAAAGTAATTCTGGAGTTTGACGTGCTAAGTTTCAGGTACCTGAAAGTATAATTAGTTTATAGTTGAAACAATGACATTTTCATTGTTCTGTTCAGTCCTTAAGGAAGCTAGATCATCATTTTCCAAAATGAATATAGTAGAACTTCAGAGTGATTTTTGGAATTTGTTTCTGGTTGAAGGCCTAGAATGTCCTGCAGTGTAGAGTTTGCTCCATTCCAGAAGACAGCCAAAAAGGAGCTAAAGAAAAAAGATGCCGAAACTAAAAGGGGTGACAATGGTAAGTCCTCTTTCAAAAGCTGGATTAAATACACTGATCAAATGTAATTTTTCTCCTAATGTGGGTAGGATTATATCTTCTTTTTTTTTTCATTTTAAATTTACAGATCCAGAATTTAAGAAGTTGTTAGAAATTTACTGCATGGAGGAAGAGAAAACTGGTACCAATCCCAAAACTCTTCTGGGAGATGTAGTGGCAAAGACAGAACTTACTAGTCTGTTGTGCCCATTTCTTCCTTTTACTTCATTAAGTGTGTTTCTATAGGGTATGCATTTGTTTCTTGTTTTTCATGATATAAAAAAATGACGCTTGTGACAGGCTTGGCAGAAATGTATAGTATTTCCCAGTTTCGACAAAAGGATGACAAGAGTCCCAGCCAGGCCTCTAGGGCCAGAAACAAAGGGTTTTTTTAAAGTGGGGAGGAGGGAGGCCGGGGCGGGGGAGGTTTGGGAGGCGGGGCATGGCATCGCAGCGCCAGTGGGCTGCAGCCTGACACTGTGCTGCCACTTGTTTTGCAGGGATCTCCATAGGGTTCCCTCACCATCCTTGGGAGGGTTGTTTCTGCTTTCAGAGAGAGAGAAGTGGCCCGTGACTCCCAGATAACCTACCAGAAGAAGCAGACACGCACACACAGTCTGGCACAGGCGCTGTCCACCAAGGAGGTTTTTGAGAGAAAGCTCTCTAAGCAAGTCCAGACACGGGGGAGGGGAGAGGAGGGAGGCATTCACAAACAAAACCGAACCAAACCCTCGGTAGTTGATACAAATACTACTTCGGTGCAGTATTTCTTAAAAAATCTAAATGTAAATTTTAAAAAAATATGATGAACAAAGTACATATTTTGTGAGCATGTTAAATGAAGACAGGATCTGGCCATCTCCCGTGGCCAGCCCGTGAGTGTTGACTCTCGAGGCTCCAGCCTGGGAAGGGCCTGTCTGAGGTGGGTCTGTCACCTGCACTGGCATCTTTTCCGGGCATAACCCACAAGTAAAGCTGCTCGGCCCCACCCGGCACCCACTGAGACACAGTCTGCGATTACCAGACAGATAGATACCCAAGGGGTACTGTATAAGCTGTGTGGGGCTATCTCACCTTCCCCTGTCCCTACAAGACTAGCTGATGAGCCGGTAGAAGAATTCTACACCCACATGTAGAAGGATTTTACTAATAGAATAAGACAATGTTCGTTGGCTGATGAACAACACATAGGGTTGGCAGGCACCGGAAAAGCACAAAAGCAGGCTGAGGCATTGGGGAGGACTTGTTCCAGTGTGAACCCAGTAAAGGTTTACACTTTAGACAACAGTTGTTTCCTCAACAAGTGAGCCTCAAAACTTTTGCTCCTATATTTCCTAATTTTCATATTTTAATTTCACATTATTTTATACTAATGTATAGGAGACTGTTCTGTGTGGCATGGGCCCAGCTCCCACTGGGAGATGCACAGGACCCACACCCACGGATAGGTTCTCCCAATGGGAGATCAGGCCTGCTATGTACCTAGGCCGCTTGGAGTCTTGCTTTTTGCTAAAACCCCCCTCACCCAGATTTGTGGCAAACATTTACTGCAAAGTAGCTCCCTAAAATCCATACTAAACCTTCCAAGAACTAGTGTAACTGGTTCAACCACTTTTGCCTTTTCATTTGCAAATATCCCTCTTCTGTGATGCATTAGCAACATTAGCTCCTTTGTGGTCTGTAAAAGGTAATCACCTAAAGCAACCTGTGCATAGTAAATGAGGACCATCATGTAATGTGCTGAAAAAGTCAGTCATGGCAAGGGCCACGGTTTTTTCTCCCCTTGAGAGAAAAACCATGCCCACCCTTTTCCTCCACTGGACTCGGTAGTCCATGTACATATCTCATCTCATCAATAATGACGTGGACACCTCACGCGGTGTCTGCATTACTAATGAGGACATAATTCCCTACAATAAAAATACACATTATAGCCCTTAATGGCATAGCTCAGTGGACTGAGCACGGGCTGCGAACCAGAGGGTTCCTAATTCAATTCCCGGTCAGGGCGCATGCCTGGGTTGCAGGCCAGGTCCCTAGTGGGAGCCATGTGAGAGGCAACCACACACTGATGTTTCTCACTCTTTCTCCTTCCCTTCCCCTCTCTATAAATAAATAAATAAAATCTTTAAAAAATACACATTATAAGCCAACATTTCCTATCATAAGTTCCTAAGTATTAAATGTATCTATTCCAATATTAAAATAGTTGATATATAAACTGCTGTGGTCTGAACGTTTGTGCCTGCACACCCCAAATTCCTATGTTGAAATCTAACCCCAATGTGAAGGTGTTTGGAGGTCGGGCCTTTGGAAGGCACTTAGGTCATGATGGTGCAGCCCTCAGTGGATAGGATTAGTGTCCTTGGGAAAGAGACCCCAGAGAGTTCCACCCCTTCCACCCTGTGAAAATGTTATAGGAAAATGAAGCAACCAGACACCGAGAGATTCTGGAGTATAAGGTTTATTAATGTGCACGAGACCATAAGAGTCAGTCTCCAAATTCTGAGCCCCAAACAAAGGATTCTTGGGGGGTTATATAGCCTAGGGGTCTTCCTGTCTACATGGCAAAGCGGGATACAGAAGCAGAATGCGGTAATTAGTTCTATCTATGGGCAGAAGCAGAGTACAAAGGTTAAATGTGAAAATTGGTTCTATCAGCAGGGGTGCTAGCCCCAGTCCGGCCTTATTGTCCTATGGCGCCTGGGGTCTTGGATGAGCAAAGGTCTCCTAGGGCTTCTCCCTTCAAAAACAGAAAAAAGAAAGTCTTCTATGAACCAGAAAACAGGCTCTCACCCTTCACCAAATCTGCCGGCCCCTTGACCTTGGACTCCCTAGCCTCAAGAACAGTGAGACATAAGTTTCTGTAGTTTATGAGCCACCCAGTCTATGGCAGTTTGCTATAGCAGCCCAAACTAAGACATAATCATAAAAGTATAATACAGGTTAGAAATATCCTTCCTTAAATTAGAAATACAGGATATTGATAACTGTTGAAGCTGGTGAGGGTACACTTTACTACACTCTCTATTTTAGTTTATGTTTATATTTGTCAATAATAAAGTGAAAAAAAGAAAATTTGGACTTCCGCCAAGATGGAGGCATAGGTGGAAACACTTTGCCTTCTCTCACAACCAAATCTAAAAACAACAAAGTTTTAGCAATAATGAATGCAGTCAAGCCACAGAAAATTGAACAATACAGAGTCCGACAACAACAAACCGATCAGTTAAACTGGTGAGAGGGGCGGAGCCAGCAGCGGAGCGGATGGGGCAAAAAAGATCCCCTGACCAGCTGAGGGCTAGACGGGCAGACCCATTGAAGGTGTGGGGTGGCTGGCTGACCACGGTGGCGGTGGCGCATTTGAGTGCAGATAAACCAGTGAAAGGATGAGCATTCCCAGCGCAAGGTGGCAGGCTGACTGCAGTCACACATTTGCACACAGATAAACAGGCGGTGGGGGGGGCGGGCAAGGTTCAACCGGTGAGGCAGACCAGACAGAAGTGGAGAGGACCGCCATTGCTCCCTCTCTGACCCCGCCCCCACAGACAGTACCACAAACCAGCGACCTGGGTGGCCCGGCCCTGGTGAACAACTAAGGCACCTCTCCTCAAACATAACAGGCGCAAACAGATCAAAACATGGCTCAAGAAGAACTCAGAGCCCCAGAGCTGATAAATCTAAGTGAACAAGAAATTGCCAACCTATCAGAGGTACAGTTCAAAACACAGGTGATCAGGATGCTCACAGAACTGGTTGATTTTAGTCACAAATTAGAGGAACATATGAAGGCTAAACTAATTGAAATGAAGGGAAATACACAGGAAACTAATAGTGATGGAAAGGAAACTGGGAATTAAATCAAGGGAGCGAACCAGAAGGAAGAAAAAAATAACCAAACAGAAAAATATGAAGAAACAAGAATTCAAAAAAATGAGGAGAAGCTAAAAACCTCCATGACATCTTTAAACGCTCCAACATCCGAATTATAGGGGTACCAGAAGGAGAACAGGAACAGCTACAAGTAGAAACCTTATTTGAAAAAATAATAAAGGAGAACTCCCCCAATTTGGCAAAGGAAATAGACTTCCAGGAAATCCAGGAAGCTCAGAGAGTCCCAAAGAAGTTGGACCCAAGAAGGAACATACCAAGGCCCATCATAATTACATTAGCCAAGATTAAAATGAAGGAGAGAATTCTAGAAGCAGCAAGAGATAAGGGGACAGTCACCTACAAAGGAGTTCCCATCAGACTATCAGCAGATTTCTCAAAAGAGACCATACAGGCAAGAAGGGGCTGGAAAGAAGTATTCCAAGTCAGGAAAACCAAAGACCTACATCCAAGATTGCTCTATCCAGCAAAGCTTTCATTTAGAATGGAAGGACAGATAAAGTGCTTCTCAGATAAGATCAAATTTAAGGAGTTCATCACCACCAAGCCCTTATTATATGAAATGTTAAAGGGATTTATCTAAGAAAAAGATAATAAAGATGAACAGTGAAAGGACAGCAAACTCACAGTTATTAACAACCACACCTAAAACAAAAGCAAACTAAGAGGACAGCTAGATCAGGAGTGAACCATAGAAAGGAAGATCACATGGAGGGTTAGCAACAGGGGAGTGGGAGGAGGAGAAGGGGGGAGAAGGTACAGAAAATAAGTAGCATAGACCATAGATAGAAAATAGATAGGGGGGAGGGTAAGAATAGTAGGGGAAATACAGAATCTAAAGAACTGAGACACGTGGTCATGAACTAAAGGGGGGGGGGTGGGCAGGGTGGAGGGGAGTAAAGGGGGGAAATAGAACAAATGTAATGGCATAATCAATTAAAAAAAAAAGAAAATTCATCTGAGATAGATGGAGACTTTTTTCCCAGTTGGTTCATATATTGGTGAATGAACTGGATAAATACTTTTTATTAATAGAATAAGACAATGTTTGACAATTCTATTCCAGTATTTGGAACAGAAACTAATTGCTGAGAAACCTTGTTGAAATGGAAGGGAGCAAGTAGAGTTTTGTTATAGTAACACCACTTAATTTGTTAAGTATGTTTTCAAGTTATGTGCCAAATGTTCAGTTATCTATAGTGAAAAATTACTTCTAATGATCTACCACCTAATAATTTTTTCAATTTTATGGAGTTAGAAACCATCTGACTTTTAAAAGGAATTGCTATTCAATCACAAGAGTCACTTAGTTCTCAGTTTCTGGGAATTAAGCAGACAAGGCTTTTCTAAGACTTACCAAGTGACTGCTAATTGTGGTTACCTGTTACCCACTGCTATTTCATTCTTGGAGGCAAAGAGTTTAATCTGATGTAATCAAAAAGGCTTGGGAAATTCAAAAGCAATGTGGTAATTTCAGTGTACTTTTACCAGTACAATATTTTTATAGAGTTTACTAACCCTTGGAGTGCAGATTTAATTAATCCAATTTATGGAAAATAGTAACCATGTAAACTTTGCCAATTAGCAGTCTTTATTATCAAATCATTCGGATAAATCAGGCTTATTTTCTCAGAAAAGTACAAGTTCATTTTTCAGTTCAAATAAATGTGAAATTTGTATCTCAAAATGAGGTCCTGGTTACAACAGCATAGGCACTACTTCCTCACCCAGACTTTCACAATGTTACCTATCAGTAGTTTTCAAACCTGGGTATGTGTTAGAATCTCCCAGAAGTTTAAAAACTGGTTCCTGGGCCCACCCCAGACCAGTGAAATCTTCCTGGGTACCAGGCACAGGCCTAGGAGTTTTCTAGAGTCTCATGTGCTTCCAAACACAGCCAAGGTTGAGACACAGTTATAGACCATATTGTGGTAAGAGAAACCCCCCATGTGGGAAGGAGACCCGCCTTCAAGTAAGGGGGCACCTCACCTCTCTTCACCTTTTGTCTTTGAAGAGTCTGACATCTACTTCACAGGGCTGTTAGAAAAAAAGTGATTAAGAGAAGGTGGCTGTGCTCATTGTAACCACACTGACTCACATTTATGGCGAGAGCAGCCACGTCCTATCACACCGTATTTTTAGTCATAAAACTCAGTATTTAAGTGAACAAAGAAGAGGCCACGAGTTCAGTTTTTCAGTTATGACCTCTCCGCACTTGGGAGGGAAATGGGTTGAAACAAGGCCAGTCAAGTGAGTGCCAAATGCGGTTCATAGGTTGCTTCCCTTCAAGCTAAGTCTTTTGAAATATTTGCTCAGCCTTCTCTCAGAAGAGGCTCGGTGCCTGCTGGAGGAGGACAAAGGTGCTCTGGTGTCCTAAGCAGTTCAGCTCTGGTCTCACAAGGAACTCTCAGAAGGCAGAGTTTGATTGGCAACCATCCACTGGTCCTGACGAGGCCCTTGGGAAGCCTCACCCCACCGAGAGTTTCTACCAAACATTTTCTTCTACTGCAGAGCCTTGTCTCCCTGAAGGGAGTTTTAGTGCATAGGATTTTTACCATCTTAGTGTAGCTCAAGTACAGTCAGTCCTTATTTTTATACAGCTTTGCAAAGTATAGGTCTGGTGATCTCCTTGAGGGCTAATTAAAAGTTGCTTGGTCCAAAAATGTGTTTGTTCCCAGTGGGAAACTCTACTGCCCATGTCTCACTTGTGGAGCTTCCTGTCATTTGTGAAGCCATGTTCCTTTCGCTGCAAGAGAAGCACGGAGGTGAGGACAGGCCTGCCCAGGGCTCCCAGCTGCGGGGGAAGATGGCGGCCTCCACCCTTCTCACCTCCACTCTAAACAGGGAGTGTGGAATTCACGCTGCACAGAATTCAAAGCAAGAAGCAAGTATCATGAGACTATGTATCCGTCCAACTGATTTAATTAGAAATTTTTTTCTTTTTAAGGAGTCTAAGTTTTCCTATATTATTGCTTTAAATAGCAAGCTGGAGAAGGGATGGCATTTAAGGATTGGGGAAGATCTTGTTCTCTTTCAGGTCTGCTGGTATTTGGCACTAAATGGTTTGTCACTAACAGGCAGCTGAGGTGGTAATACCTGCTTCATAAACTGAATTTGAGAACACACTAGGAAGATTTGAAAGATGGAAAATAAGAGTGTGGGCTTGAGGTCAAAGTATGATTTCCAGAAAGCTAAAAACAGAACGGATACCTTTCAGAGTTAATCAGCTTGTGAATGCAGATGGACAATGAGCTAGTTCAAAGAACCTGGGGACAGTGGTTTTATGCAGTTTGTGAAGGCTGGATGAAATACCTGCTAAGTTGCAGGAAGCTGGTTAATGGGAACTAGTCATGCACCACGTAACAACATTTCAGGCAACAATGGACCACATATACAATGGTGGCCCCATAAGATAATGGAGCTGAAAAGTTCCTATTACCTAGTGATACCGTAGCTGTCGTAACATCGTAACACATTACTCATGTTTGTCGTGATGCTGGTGTAACCAAACCCACTGCACTGTCAGATGTGTGTGTAGCAATACAGTTATGTATAGGACACAGTACTTGATGATAAACAGCTACTTTACTGGTTTATGTATCTACTGTGCTATGCCCTCTATCGTTAGTGTACTGTCTCTACTTATTAAAAAGACAAGTTTGCTGTGAACACTGCGCCTTGTCACACAGGCAGCAGCCTATCCATCTTGTGTAGACTGTGTTTCTTGATTGCATCATTTTCTCTTGTGCTTGATTTAATCTCCTGCTGTTTTTTGAATTTAGGGTAGCCTAGGTGTAGAGTGTCTACAAAGTCCACAGTAGTGTAATGTCTTAGTCCATTAAATTCACTCTCCACTCAGACTCCCCTAGGGCAGTCTTCAGTCCTGCAGGCTCCATTCATGGTAAGCACCCTGTATGGGTGTACTATTTATGTTTTGTACCCTATCTTTACTGTACCTTTTCTATATGCAGCTGTGTTTACATACGCAAATACTGTTGTGTTACAACTGCCTACAGTATTCAGTACAGCAACATGCTGCACAGGTCTGCAGCCTAGGAGCACCACCTAGCCCAGGTGTGCAGTAAGCTAGACCATTTAGGTTTGCGTAAGCATAAAGAGGAAATCACCTAACAAGGTGTTTCTCAAAACGCATCCCTGTTGTTTAAGCAGAGTATGACAATATTTTCAAAATACCTTTTATAAAACCTATGGGGTTAAATTTTGTTATTTCTTCCTGATAAGGTATGCATATTCTTTAAGATAGTTAAAACCAGTTTTTTGTAAACTAGTTATTCGACTGTAATTGGGAACAATTACTCAACTCTTTATGATTTGAGTTAGATTTTTGTCCACTTGACCTACAATTCTTGCATTTAAACAAATCAACTAAGAATTTAGTAAGCTTCCCATATATTTCACCTAAGCCTCCTTGGGGTCTGTGGCATTTTCAAGAGACTGGCTGGTGTTAGAATCAAGTTAACATTATGCTCAAACCAACTAAGCTAGCCACTAACTGATCATAATCAGTGTTGAAACATCATTTTATTCTAACAGCATTTCCAGTTTTAGGATTGAACGCAGTGTCCCATCTGGGGAATTTGTAAGGAAAAAAGTACTATTCTTGCACTGACTCAAAAGTAAATTGGACTAATTTTTTTTCCAACTCATAAAATGAAAAGCAGTTTAGGAAGAGTAGTCTTGGCATGTGGAGAGAATTATGCCAGGCTTAGCGAGGGCAGGACTTTTAGAGGAAAAAGAGTAAGCAAGCATTATAGGTTAGGAAAGAAAAGGCAATGAGTAAGGTGGGATGGGAAGGTTACTTAAGGTATCTTATTTGCCAAAGCCTTAAGTAATGGCCCTTTAGGGTTCATTTTGTATTTAGAATGCAACATAAAATCATCGTTGTACCGACCTTAGTTTTCGGTGTGTCAAGGATGGGCTGGGAGGCTTGACTATGAGCAGTCTCTACTGCACCCAATCTGTGCACACAATGAGGGTCTAGACCAGCGAGACCCTAGCAACAGTTGTATTGCTTAAGAAACCAAACCAGGGTTGCTTAGACAAAGCAATCAAAACCCTGTTTGTAAACCCAGGTGTTATAGGTAGAATGGCTCCCAAAGATGTCTGAGTCCCAACTGCAGACCCCGTGAAAACAATAGTTTATACGAATAGTTTATAAACAATAGTTTACAGTTTATAAGGTTGTTAACTAGCTGACTTTAAAATAGGGAGATGATCCTAGATTATCTGGGTGGCCCAATGTAATCACAAAGGTCCTACGTTAAAGAGGGAAGCAAAGTCAGCAAAAGCGATACTATGCACTAGCTCAAAGATGGAGGGAGGGAGCTATAAGCCAAGATAAGGCAGGTGGCTTCTAGAAGCTGAAAAAGAGAATGGATTCTCTTCTAGAGCCTCCAGGAAAGAATGCCATGCAAGATCTCTTACCTGTCCTACTTGTTGGCATCAGGCCTAGAAGGAAACTCCGCAACTTGGGCTTGTTCTGGAGGTGTCCAGTGTAAACTGCCAACTACTTGGTGCTTTCCCTGCCTGACTGTGCTCACCAAGAGGATATATCTGAAGCTTTAAGACCTTTCTGGTATTATCTAAACAGTGTCTCCCCAACTGGAATATTAATCTGGATGCCATAAAAAAAAGCACTCCTTGTTCAAAAACGTCCAGGAACAGCTTCATTAAAGCCAAGTGTCTCTCAATCCTGGCTACACACCAGAATCCTGAGAGCACTAAATGTTTCACATTGTTTAAATGGAGCAGCCAGGGTTGTTAACCACTGGAATGAAACAATCTTTAATAAGGTAATGTGCACAGCTGACACTTTTCACAATGAGCACCCAGTACAGCGATTCCCTAACTTATCTGACCACAGAACTTTGAGAAAACAGCTGAGATGATGTTGTTCCAGACATTAAAAAACTGGTATGCTAAAAACAAGGGGAAATAGGAAAGAATACCAAAATGGGTATCATACAATAAAAAATAAAATACACACATGAAAATGTTGGTGACACAAAAGCCTTTTAATTTGGATGATACACATTTGACAAAATATTTTAGCGTAAAATAATCCATGAATGGGCTCAAGGTATTTACAGTAACAACTTTAAAAAAAAATGGACACATTCTCCAACAGAAATGTCTGCTTATAAAATATTCTATGGTCGACCTGGAAGACTCTCAGTTCCTCCTTATTACCTCAGTGTGAAGCCCCAGTGGGTGACATACAAGGCCCAGGAGCAGGAGGCACATCTCAAACATCTGGCAATGAAGGACCGTCTATTGGTGTGAGCCCACAGGGAAGTGAGGGGCCGGATCCTGGGATAAGGTACAGAATGGAAGACTCCAACACAAACAACTAAGGACAAAGCCTAAAAAAAATACTCACCTTTCTCAGTTTCCTACAGGAGAAGGATGCAAACTACTTTTTATACTTACTCAATTTCCCCCCTTTAGCAGAAAATCAGCAACCCTGAGACTCCAATTTTCCATGACATAAAAGTTAATAAACATCTAGAAACTGTTCAAGATTTATAAAAATGATCAAATAGAAACTTCAAAATAACTTTTATGATCTGAAAATACTTTAAAAAAAGAATATTTCTCAAAATTTTCATGCCTAATTCTTATGCATTCCAACCAATTTCCATTGTCTGAAATTAGTTTCACAAAAAAGACACTTTAACTAGGTATTTTAAATTGAGTATCACTCGCACTTGTTAAATGAACGCCTACATTTCATATTATTCACAGGTACTTAAAAGAAATTAGATACTTTATCCATCTGGAATATACAGTCTGAACTGCCTTGTAAGACAGCAACATAAACAGAGACCATGAAAAAATAACCAAATGCCTATTCTGTGTAACACTACTGAGACAATTAAACACAGTACACCACACAAGTCAACATCTACCGATCCAACTAAGCTATTTAACTACACTTTCAACAAAAAACTTTGTAGAGCATACATCCACAGTTTTTAGAAATCAAATCTGTTGCTCCTCCAGTGGTGGCTCAAGAGCTTCCATTAGCTTTTTGTTTGCCTCTTCATTATGTCGGCTTTGACAATGAGTTAAGTGTTTCTTAAAGCCTCTTGGGAAATTCGATTCAAAATTACAACGTGGACATTTCAGGAGACTTTGCCCATGGGCTGCTACATGATTTTTAAGGAGAGATTCCAAGAGAAAAGCCTTCCCACAGATTGTGCATTTGTAAGGGCTGTGGACATTATGCTTATTGACCAAATGATGCAAAACAGCACCTTTCTTCATAGCACGGCAGCAACAAATTTTGCAGTAATATTTTCCTTTTCCACGCTTCATATATTTTGCAATCTCTTCCTCTGAGATAAAAGCCTCTTTTTCTTCAGTAAACTGGAGTACATTTTTGGACTGCTCTGCACTAGTCATGTCCATTTTGTTCTCTTTACCGAAATCAATAGATTCCACATCAACCTGCTCTTGATCACTGCTTGATTCTTGGCCCTTACTATCCATGGCTTCCAAATCTGTTTTTATATACTCACTACTACTAAGCTCAGCATCAGAGTTCTCTTGGCTGTCTTTCTTGAGCTTCTTTGAGGCAGGAAATAAAGTGTCTTCTAAGAGTTTCTTAGGTGTAGCCAGTAGTTCTTCCTGAACTAAAATATCACACTTTTGATCATCTATGGCATCTGTCTGTAGTTCATCACCTAGTTCAACTGCCTTTTGAGATTCTGAGAACATAGCAGGTTTGGCAAGTTCAGAAAAAAGGGAATGTTTCCGTGCCTCTGGGAAAAGAGCTCGTTTTCGTGGTTCGGGAGAAGGAGGAGGGGCTGATTTGATAGGCTCAGAAAATAGGGCAGGCTTTCTAGGCTCACTGTCAATAGAGAGAACAGGCTTCCAGATATCAGAGGCTGCTTTAGGGGACTCAGGTGGCCCAGAAGGTTTCCGGGTCTCAGGGAAGACAGATTTCTGAGGTTCAATAAAGAAGGAAGATTTCCAGAGATCAGGGGAACCACCACGGGAACTTTTCTGGAACTCAGGAAAATCAAGTGAAGCAGGAGGAGTCTTTCGCTGATCAGGAGAAAGCTTCCAAAGCTCTGGAGACCCTGAGGGTTTTCTGAGTTCTGGAGATCCCGCTGGACTACAAATGTCTGGGGACAATGGTGGACCTGGTTTGCGAAGCTCAGGAGACAAGGGAGGTCCTGCTTTACGGAGCTCAGGAGACAGTGGGGGGACTGCCTTCCAATGTTCAGGTGACAAGGTAGGAGCTGTCTTTCGAAGTTCCGGTGGACCCGACTTCCATGACTCAGGAGATGCGGGAGGAGTTTTCCAGGATCCAGCTGAGACTGATGAAGACTTCCAGGATGCTGGGGACACAGATGGAGTTGGTTTCCAAGGTCCAGGTGATATGGAAGGAATTGGTTTCCAAGGTCCAGGAGACACAGATGGAGCAGGTTTAGCTGGCTTCCAGGGTCCTGATGCCGAAGGACTAGATTTCCAAGACCTGGGGGACCCAGGTGGCCCTGGCTTCCAAGAACCTGGTGACACAGCTGGGGCTGGTCTCCTAGGCTCTGGAGAGACAGCAGGGAATGGCTTCCAAGGTTCAGGAGACTGTGACGGGGATGGCTTCCTTGGCTCTGGGGAGACTGTCCGGGCCGGCTTCCGAGGCTCCGGAGACGCAGTTGGGGATGGCCCCCAGGGTTCAGGGGAAGCAGCTAGAACTGGTGACTCTGGAGAGGAGGATGAAGGGGTCCCCAATGCTTCTGGGAAGTGGGAGTGTTTCTGAGGTTTGGGATTAATAAGAGTAGTCTTTACTGGCTCAGGAGACACAGGAGCAAGTTTCTGTGGTTCTGGAGAAGGAACGGAGGCTGGTTTCTGAGACTCAGAAACAACAGGGACTGGTTTTGGAAGTTCAGGGGAAGAAACAGGGGTAGTTTTTAGTGGCTCGGGAGAAGGAAGAGGAGGAGTCTGTGGCTCAGGAGAAACAACAGGGCCAGGCTTCTGAGTCTCCGGGGGAGTGAGAGTGGGTTTGGGTGACTCTGGGGACAGAGCTGGCCCGAGTGTCGGGGTTTCGATGGAAGGGGCAGGCGCGGGTTTCTGGAGTTCTGTGGAACTGGAGGGCGTTTTCTGGTGTTCGGGAAGAGGAGGGCTTTTCACAGAATCTGGTTCTTTGTTTGACTGATTTTTTGGTTTCTCACTCCATTTCTCTGGGGCTGCATGTTTGGATGTGATATGATAGTATACATTAGAGTACATCTTGCTGGTGAAGAAGCATTTATGGCAATGAAATAGCTTTGCACTTTTCTGGTAAAATATCATTTTACCTAATCCACCAGCATCCATTTCATCGCAGAACTCTGGGTGGATGGTGCCCATGTGGATCTGTACGTTCTCATAGTCCGTGCCTCGGAAACTGCAGTGGTCACACTCCAGACGCACTGGTGCTTTACGAAGTTCCTGAAATACTTCCATTTTTCTTTCTGTTGTAACACACACAATTATATTCTTTAAAAAGTTTCAACGGGGCTGTAATAAAGTAGAAATAAATTAGTTTCGGGGAATGGAATCGTTGTTCAAGTACAGCTGTCTCCATATTCCCCCCAGTCCCTCCCATCCCCACCTCCCACCCTCGATCCCACCCTCTTTGGCTTTGTCCACGTGTCCTTTGTACATCACGGAACATAATCTTTAATGAAATGCTATTCTGGCTTATTCTAAAACGGCTTAATTTTAAGCCTAGGATGGCATATGCATATTATTCAAAATATCTCTATAAAAATATTGAAGAAGAAATGGAACTCATTTTTAACTGGGTCCCAGGAACCCTTCTAGGTTCATATACATCATCTCATTTAACCTCACTCAATACGACTCAAGTATTATTTTTTCACTTTCTTCTACAGATAAAAAAACAACTGAGGTTAGAAGAAGTGACTTAAACCAGGTTATGAAACTATCAGTGACCCAAATCTGACCCCAGAATTATCAACTACATGTGCTTTACACCTTGACTTTAAAACCCCAAATATCAACAAGCTGACAGTGCACAAAGCTAGTAAGTAAACATCAAAATTCAAGTTAGGTTACTCAAGGCTGAGCAAGAAACTTTAAATCCATTTCAGAAGACACTTGTTAAATTAAGTCTAACTATGAAAAGATGTTTACCAAAAACCCAACATATCTTGTATTTTAGCATCCTGACATAAAGTATTTTATTCATTTACTTAATAGATTATTTTGAGCCCCATGCTTTTCCAAGCCCTTGGGGTTGAAGGGGTGTCTTGCAGTATGGTGCTGAACACTGACAGGGAGGTAAGAGTGTGGAGGGCAGTGCAGAGAACACTGTCAAGGAGACACTCCAGCAAAGACTGTGAACGACACGTCATCCTAAGCTTAAAGTAATTACTTGAACAGAGATGTTGCCCTTGCCAAGCAAAGGGCAGTTCAGACAGAGGACAACCTTGAGGTAGGAACTTGCCTGCCAGAAAATACAACTTTTTAAAATTTTGAATGAGTCTTCTTAGGTGGTAAAAGTAACAGAACCAGAGTATCATGGTTCGATTCCCAGTCAGGACACATGCCTGGGTTGCAGGCCAGTACCCAGCAGGGGACACACAAGAAGCAACCATACATTGATATTTCTCTCCCTCTCTCCTTCTTTTCCCCTCTAAAGATAAATAAATACAATCTTAAAAAAAAACCTCACACAGTACGAAATACACAGTATACACTCCCCAAGGGTAGGCCCTGTACTTACACATCACTGAAGAAACGCTCTACGCACACACAAATACAGAAACACATTCTACTCGAATGGGACACTAAACACAACACTAAACACACTATCTGCTTCCATTTAAAGAAGAGAGGGGGTCTCTCTGGCTCAGAAGAAACAGGGCCAGGTTTCTGCAGCTCCACAGACGTCAGAAGAGCAGGTTTTGTGATTCGGGAGCTAAAACTGCGCCCATTTTCTGAGTTTCTAGGGAAAGGGCAAGTACTGGCTTCAGGAGCTCTGCTGAATTAGAGGGCATTTTCTAAAACATCTGCACATACAGAGTAAGCACAGAATTTCTTTGTCGTGTATCTTTTAATGTGAGGGTAGTTCTGAAGGGAGAATTCCTAGAAATGGATTACCTGGTTCAAAAGCTATTTACAATTAAAATTGATATATTTTACCAAAAACTCAAGAAGTTACAGCACTATTACATGAGAAACAATTCCCCAAATTCGTCATCCACACTGAGTATCATTAAATTTCTAATCTTTGATATTTCTTAAATGAAAACTACTATCTCACTATTGTTTGAATGTGGTTTTCTTTAATGAGAAACACTGAACATTTTTCTTTGCTTATTAGCTATTTATATTTCTTTGTCTAAGATATGCTTTGTCTATTTTCTTAATTATTTGAAAATCATCCTTGTACATAAAAGAAAGAAACTCACATAATAAAACTATTTCAGTTTATTATTCAATTTGTTTCTTGACTTCATTTTTAACCACATGCAATTGGTTTACATAAAAATTAAAAACTTAAAAGTGAGCCCTGGCCGGTGTAGCTCAGTGGATTGAGCACGGGCCTGTGAACCAGAGGATCACAGTTCAATTCCCAGTCAGGGCACATGCCTGGGTTGCAGGCCAGTTCCCTGAAGGCCAGTTCCCTGCAGGGGACACACTAGAGGCAACCATACATTGATGTTTCTCTCCCTCTCTCCTTCCCCTCTAAAAATAAATAAATAATATCTTAAAAAACAAACAAAAAAACCCTTAAAAGTGTTTTCCTTTATGACTGTATTTTAAATTATGCTTCCCCACTTCATTATTTTCCTTATTTTGATAACTTAATTTTTTAAATTTTTATTAATTTTTAGAGAGGGGGAAGGGAGGGAGACACACATAGATGTGAGAGAGAAGCACTGATCAGCTACCTCTACCCCAACCAAGGACTGAACCCACAACCCAGACATGTGCCCTGACCAAGAATCCAACCAGCAACCTTTTGCTTTGCAGGACCACGCCCTACTAAAGGAGCCACACCAGGCACGGTGATAATTTACCGGCAACATTTCGCCTTGTGGGACAATGCCCAAATGACTGAGCCACACTCGTTAGGGTGACAATTAGTTCTTTTTTACATTTGTATCTTTAATAAGGAAAAGGACTAGGGATCCAGCCTATTTTCTCACCCCAAATGCATGGTTCGTTTATCTCCACAACAATGATTACAGAACCCATTTCCTCACTTATGTGTAATTTTCCACTTAGTATTTACTAAATTTCATGTACATGACTCTATTCTGGACTCTATCGTGTTCTCCAACCAGTCCCACCTGGTGTGTTCTTCTCAGCACAGGAACCCAACGATCGCTAAAACACACTCTGTAACATACACGTACAGTTTATTCAAGTGGCTTGCAGAATCTCTTCTCATTCAGTTATGCCCCATCATTTCCCAAAAGTACCAGGTACTACTGAGAGTATGCAGTGAGCTTTGTGCTAATGGTAAAACAAAGTCAAAATATACTTTTTCTATGGTACTCAAAAAGACAGTACAGATTAGAAACACTTATTGATAATCACAGATCTCCCTTTATTAACTTAACATTAATTTAAAACTTTAACACTTCTAATTTTGATAACTTGCTTTTAAAATGTTATTACTATACTTAGGTTTATCTTCAGATTGTACAAAAATCTTTCACCCTTTTAAAATGTTATTACTGACAATATGGTTTCTATCACTGGTATCAGTGGTATATCATTTGCATTTTTTGAGAGGGTTCTAAAGTTAGAAAGATGATAACTGAAGAAACAAACTAGTGCTTCAGAAAGTATTAGCAATAATCCTATCTTTTAGAAAATCGTCTTTAGGGCTACATGGACTACAAATACACACACACACACAAATATATGAAATCACTCAGTTCTGAAAAAAATCTCTAAAAAGAATGTTTAACTTAAAAACAAAATAAAGAAAATATGTAAAAAGACTAGGTTATCTCGGTAACCCCGTCTGGCCATAAGTGGCACTAATAAACGGTAAAGGGCTGCCTGTATGAAAGAGGCTGGGTCTGACACACACCACGTCATCTGCCATGTACATTATGACACAGAGGCTGAGAGCTCAGACTTGCTAGTTTTCAGTCCTGATTCTGCTATATGGTTTTTATCAAGTGACTAAACATTTCTATGCTTCAGTTTCCTTAACTGTAAAATGGATACACAGTAATATTTTATAGCATGTTTAGAATAATATCTGATACAGCAAGCACCCCGTGTTAGCTATTATTACAATATTAGAAACTACAAGGTCGTCTCTAAAATATACAATCCTTCAGCTTCTGGTACTCAAACAGCCCCAAGTCAACTGGGTGAAGATGTGGCAGACCAACATGTGGCTCATCCGAAAGATACTCAAGTCCTGCTTGTGACAAATAAAGGCATTACTTTCATGATTTTTTTGTCCAGCTTTCTGAAGCTTAAAGAAACTTAACAGAAACTTTTTCCAACTTCTCAAACAATAATTCATACACAGTATGAAGAAAGAACTTCTGTTTTCTCATTTCACTGCAGACTTAGCTACACCACTCTGCATAATGTGCAGTCCCATTAACAAAAAAACTTTCTTCCTTTCCTACATGCTGCCTCATCAGCTTTTACCAGTAGTAACTCATGTAACAGAGGTCATCAAAAAGCCCAGTATGTAATACAGGGATTAGATTATAAACTTTAAGGGCAAAGTATTTTTTCTTCTATTCTCATAGACATGTCTGAGTACACTGTTTTATAGTCAGAAAGATTTTTTTAAATGCTTCTGGCAAACTTACCAAAGAAAAATCAGAATGAAACAAACCGCATCTCAGTTTCGGGTGTCTCTAACAGTCCCACAGTAGAGAACTGGTCCCCCTTTTTGCCACACACTCCTCCCAATTGCTACCCCAGTCTTGTGGTCCTTTTCAGTAGGCGAAGCTCTACTACCTCTTTTCCTTATTTCTATTGGGTTGGCCAAAAAGTTTGTTTTTTTCCACAAGATGGCTCTAGTAACACTTAGATGTCTTTAACTTCATCTGAAATAATTGTTAGTTTTACTGTGACAGCTGTCATATCAGCATGCATTCTCACTGGACAATGCTCCATGGTAGGCAGACCAGCTGAGGTTGATAACAATCGAATCAAGACATTAACTGAAAACCATCAACACTATACCACGCAGGAGATAACCAACATACTCAAAATGTCCAAATCAATAGTTACTGGTGAAAATTTTTAAAATGTGTCTTTTATTTTATGAAAAAATCATATGGTGTTTTTGACCAACCCAATACTTTCCATTGACTAGATTTCTCCCTTTCTTACCTCTTTTAAAGTTTTATATTAACTGTACATTTTACACCTGCTCCTGCAATATAGCCCCTGGTTTTTTTTTAAATCCTCACCCAAGGACATATTTATTGACTAGAGAGGGACAGACAGAGACAGACAGCTAGACATACACTGATATGAGAGAGAGAGACAATGATCTTTGCCTCCCAGCTCCGACTGCGATTGAACCCACAACCTAGGTACGTGCCCTGCCCTGGATGGAGCCTGCAACCTTTCAGGGCATGGAACAACACTCCAGCCAACGGAGCCACCGGCCAGGGATTTAGTCCCTCTTTTTAATGAATACCACTCAGCCTAATTCCTCCTGCTCTTGCCTTAAGGAGCCCCCTACCACCTCAGCTTCTTGGAGAGGCCTGACTACTTTTGTCCTCAATTGCTGCCCACCGAATCTGGAATCTGTCCATTCACCAGCTCTCCCACCCTTCATGTAGAGCACCACTCTGTAAATACATCATCCATTCCCTTTCAGTCTGTCTTAAACCCTGATGGCTCCTTAGATTCCAGATCATTCCCCATCTCTCCCAAATGGCCCTCCCTCTTTCCTCTTCCGACCAAAAACTCTTCTGGCCAATCTCAAAGTTTCTATTACCCACACCTACCTACTATTAAGCCTCATTATCATACTCTGATAACTTCTTAATTTAAAAAAATTAAAGAGAATATTACAGAATACACCCCTCAAACCCCAAATTCTACCATAGCTATGAATACTAGCACATGTTCATACATATTATATATATGGCTGGATATACTTTATAGTTTTTCCTTAAGAACTCCATGTACTTTTCAAAAATATTTTAATCATAAAATGTCCTCCTAAACATTAAAAAGCAAAATAAAATAAAAATTTTTTTAAATGAAAAGAAATGCTGATAGTTAACACTTTATAAAGACCAATATGCTTTTGCCTAGTGGACTTACCAGCTGTCTTATTAGAAGTCTTAAAAGTAGTCTTCAAAGGGCAGCAAGTTCACATGGCTTTTTGACTAAACCACTGAAAATAGCCTGGAGTACATGAAGGACAAAGATGAACCTAAAATAATGATAATAATAATAATAATAATAATAATAGGCAATCAAAATCCTATCTCTGTGATATCTTGTACTCTCTAAATTAGAATTCTGCCTATTTCTCTCACTATTCTGCCCCACCCCCGGAAGTGAGAGGGGTCCGATCCAACCAGTCTGGACACTGACTTCAATGAAATGACACCCAATACAGTTGATGATATCCATGACACCATCCCTGTCTAACTGCACTTTAATAATCCACGATGGACTAATGCCATGTACAGAACCACACCTTTCTAAGATCTACCATCTAACTTTAGCAGATGTGACAAGCACTCAGGAGACTGCTCCATGACTTCAGCTGCAGCTGGCATCTTGTACATTATGTATACTACACAGCTGGACAGCAAATTAACAGGCAGTGAGAAGAGAACATAATCAACCGGATCAAGAGGCAAAGAGGCATCTGGGAAAAGGAAGGATGGTGGTGACTTCCTTTCAGTGACTGCTTTGTCATGCACTAATTTCAAAGAGAAGACATAAGGGTCTTGGTGAGTTGTTGACTTGAACAGAATGGGATAAACTGGCTGGGAACAAGCTAGGTAACTGCTCACGATACTCATCTGATCAAGTTCCAGAACATTTATCTACCCTTCCCTCTATTCCCTATGCCACTGGCTATTCCCTATGCTTTAATTCTGATTATCTGACCTCCCTACCACTAACTAGTCTCGTTTCCTTCCAATCCACTCATCATATCGCTACCAGTCATTTTCCAAGCATAAAAACCTGCTGTGACTTGACTGCTCACAATTTCTCAAGGTAATTCCAACCCCTACGGCAGAAAATTTGAACACTGCTCATAAAGCTCTTCATAATCTGCCCCCTGACTATACTGCACTCTCAAAGTACTGACCCACCTGGAATTCCCTGACAATTCAAGCTTCCAGACCTTTGCACTCCACATCCTGACACCCAGTCATGAGGCAAGTTCCTCCATACTTTGGGCGGGATTGCTTTGTAAATACTGGCCAATTCCCTGTCCTTTCTAGTCTTCCTTGGACCCCTTGCTGTATGTACATCTCTACTGTAGTGGCTGTCACCCTCTGGCACTACCACATGACTCCACACCAGGCCGTGGGCTCTCAGAAGGCAGGGACTACCCATTCACCGCTATGACCCTTGCATGTCCCTGGCACATGGTGTATGCTCAGAAAGTCTCTGTTCAATCTCAAACCTACTCAGGAAGACAAGAGATCTGATCTTAGATTCATAGGATTTTCAAACTAGAAAAGACCTGGAGTCACTGGATTTTGGGATAAAAGAAGACCTCGGGGACATCTACTTTAAAACTTCAATTTAGCCCTGGCTGGTGTAGCTCAGTGGATTGAGCACGGGCCTGCAAACCAGACAACTGCGGTTCGATTCCCAGTCAGGGCACATTCCTGGGTTGCAGGCCAGTTCCCTGCAGGCCAATTCCCAGCAGGGGACGCACAAAAAGCAACCATACATTGATGTTTCTCTCCCTCTCTCCTTCCCTTTCCCTCTAAAAGATAAATAAATAAAATCTTTAAAAAAAAAAAAAAAAACTTCAATTTATAGGCCCTGGCTGGTGTAGCTCAGTGGATTGAGCTCGGGCCTGCAAACCAGAGTATTGCGGTTCCATTCCCAGTCAGGGCACATGCCTGGGTTGCAGGCCAGTTCCCAGCAGGGGACCCATGAGAGGCAACCACACATTGATGTTTCTCTACCACTCTCCTTCCCTTCCCTTCTAAAGATAAATAAATAAAAATAAATTGAAAAAATTATTTTAAAAAACCCTTCAATTTATAGTTGAAGAAACTCAGATCTAAACATTAACTTGCTCGAGATCACGTAGATAATCAGTGTGTGACAGAGGACCAGAATACGGTTCAGCTATCCATCTGGGCATTTTCTAGTATTTCGTGACCAACCAAATACAGTGAAATTAATAAGATCCTGAAAAGCCAATGCAATGGGCCAAAATCAACAAGATGAAATTCATCATCAGACATTTCGAATCCAACTAGGAACTGCAGAATATAGCACTGCAGAGAACTGCATTCCATATTCTGCATTTGGCAGAGTATCCCTGTCTCCAGCTCTGGGCAGTTCCCAAACACTAGCAACTTGCATAAAAAAAGCAACCAGGGCCAACGGCAGTCTTTGAAAACATGTCACTTGTGATTATAAGCACTTATCTTCAAAAAGGGAAGAATTGTGGATAATATGTAAGCTGTCCTAGAAGCAACAAATGGAGGCCAGCAGCAAAACAGATATCAGCTCAACACATAGTTTTATGAACTACTTAATCACAGACCAGAATAGGTTGCTTTGTCAGGCAGGAGCCCTCTGTAACTGGAAGCCAATGATCAGGCCTGGACTGGAGGAACCCTCAAAGGACTTGAGTCCAGTCTCTTCATTTTACAATGAGAAAACTGATGCTGAGTGAGAAAGGTGACTCATGGAAGGTCACACGAATTAGGTCACAGGAAGCAACACAAGACCCTGACTTCCCAGTTCTGGAATTCTGTTTAACACAATGCTGTCTTTCCCACTGGGGTGTTGCAGAACCGAGTACAGAACTCAGCTGCGGGGTAGAAAACAGACACTGAGATTCCTTTCAGCTTTTAAGATTCTAGCACATTCCCCCCCCTAATTTTCAGAGTTCCTAAGCCTAACTATGAAAGTAAATCTAAACTCTCCAGATAATAAAAATTTCTCTTCACCTAGTTTCACCTCTACAGACTACATGGTTTTAAATATGTAAGTGCTAATTACTGTTCTGCCAGGGCATCATCCTGTGCTTTTCAATGAAGTTCTATGCCGTATGGTATCACACCTACTTCCCGTTCCTATCCAATTCCTTCCTGGTCATTTAAAAAAACATCCTGATGTACAGCTTTTAAAATTAAAACATGTAGAACACATTTAAAGCTAACTGGGTTTTATGCATATACACATTAGTATTGCTCTTTACCACAGCTGATTTTTTAAAACTTAGTAATCTGTTTTTAGAGCAATTTTAGATTTAAAAATATATAAACAGAAAATTTTGTTTTCATATACCTTCCTGCACACAACTTCTCCTAATATTAACATCTGACAACAGTAAGGTACATTTCTTATAAACAACAAATACTGAATATTAACTAAAGTCCACAGTTTACATTAGGGGTCATTTTACCAAGTTTCATGGGCTTCACAAACATATGGTGTCATATACCCACCGTGGCAGAATCACACAGAATACTTTCAATGCCTTAGCAATTCCCCGTGCTCCTAACAGCCACTGATCTTTTTTCTGCCTCTATAGTTTTGCCTTTTCCTACACATTTTTGAAAACTGGTAAAACTTCCAGCCACGATATACTTTGCTTCCTCACACAACCAAAAGGACAATTAAAAAATAAAAACCAACCAGAACTGCCAGAAAATCGAACTGTATGGAAGTCTGATAACCAAGGAGTTAAAGAAACATTTAACCAGACTGGCAGCAGAGGCAGAGATGACATGCAGCAAGGCAGTGGAGACAGGGTAGGTGAGGTGGCAGCTGGTGGACGGGGGGGTCCCACATTCACATGTGGATAAACCGGGAGGAACAACTGGGGAGTGAGACAGACCATGCAACCCAGGGTACCAGCGCTCAGAAATAAAGGCTCAAAACCTGACTGTAACAACCTATGGGGGTTGAAGCAGCAGCAGGAGAAAGTCCCAGCCTCATAGGAGAGTTCGTTGGAGAGACCCACGGAGTTCTTAGAACACACACAACCCACCCATCTGGGAATCGGCACCAGAAGAACCCAATTTGCTTGTGGGTAGTGGGGAAAGTGACTGAAAGTTGGGTGAAAGCCAAGCAAGCAGCAATTGTTTCCTCTGACCCCTGCCTCACATACAGCATCACAACACAGAGATTTGAGTTGGCCTCCCTGGTGGTAACTAAGGCTCCACCCCTTATAATACAACAGGTGCCCCAACACAAAGAAATATGGCCCAAATGAAAGAACAGATCAAAGCTCCTGAAAAAGAACTAAGCAACAAGAATATAGCCAACTATCAGATAAAGAGTTCAAACACTGGTAATAAGGATGCTCACAGAAATAACTGAGTACAGACACAAAATAGAGGAAGAAGCGAAGGCTATACAAAGTAAAATATATCAAAATATACAGGGAACCAACAGTGAAGGGAGGGAAATCAGAACTCAAATGAATGACTTGGACCAGAAGGGAGAAATAAACATCCAACCAGAACAGATTGAAGAAACAAGAATTCAAAAAAATAAGGATAGGCTTTTAAAGTTGTCCCTAGGAATCTCTGGGACAACTTTACAAGTTCCAACATCCGAATCATAGGGGTGCCAGAAGGAGAAGACGAAGAGCGAGAAATTGAAAACTTATTTGAACAAATAATGAAGGAAAACTTCCCCAATCTGGTAAAGGAAATAAACTTCCAGGAAACTCAGAGAGCCAAAGAAGTTAGACAGAAGGAAGCACACACCAAGGCACATCATAATTACATTAGCTAAGATTAAAGATGAGGAATCTTAAAAGCAGCAAGAGAAAAGGAGACAGTTACCTATAAAGGAGCTCTAATAAGGATTATCAGCTGATTTCTCAAAAGAAACCCTGCAGGCAAGAAGGGGCTGGCAAGAAGTATTCAAAATCACAAAAGACAAGGACCTATATCCAAGATTACTCTATCCAGCAAACCTTTCATTTAGAATGGAAGGGCAGATAAAGTGCTTCCCAAATAATGTCAAGTTAAAGGAGTTCACCACCACCAAGATCTTATTATATGAAATGTTAAAGGGACCTAGCTAAGAAAAAGGAGGTCAAAAACTATGAACAGAATATAAGAATTCTTGACTTCTGGCCAAGATGAAGGTGTAGGTAGACATACTATGTCTCCTCACACAACCAAAAAAAAAGAACAAAAACAAATTTAAAAACAAAAAACAACCAGAACTGACAGAAAACCGAACTGTATGGAAGTCCAATAACTAAGGAATTGAAGAAGGAACATTCATCCAGACTGGTAGGAGGGGCGGAGACGGACAGCCAGGCAGAGAGGACTCACGGCAGGGCGGCAGACTGTGGACTGGGAGGTCCCACATTCACAAGCAGATAAACCAGGGGGAACAACTGGAGAGCAAGACAGACTGCACAATCTGGGGTCCTAACTGCAGGAGATAAAGCCTCAAAGCCTCTGACTGAAAACACCTGTGGGGGTTGAGGCGGCAGTAGGAGAAACTCCCAGCCTCACAGGAGTTTGCTGGAGAGACCAACAGGGTCCTTGAATATACAAAAGCCTACCCACCTGGGAATCAGCACCTGAAGGGCCCAATTTGATTGTGGGTAGCAGGGGAAGTGACTAAAAACCAGCAGAGTGAAGCAAGTACCATTGTTCCCTCTCAGACCCCTCCCCCACATACAGCATCACAAAGCAGCAACATGGGTTGCCCCTCCCTGGTGAAAACCTGAGCCTCTGCTCCTTACTATGTAACAGGTGTGTTGAGACAAGAAAAAAAAATGGCCCAAATGAAAGAACAGATCAAAGCTCTAGAGAAAATACAACTATGTGATGAAGAGATAGACAACCTATCAGATGCACAGTTCAAAACACCAGTAATCAGGATGCTCACAGAATTGGTTGAATAGGGTCACAAATTAGATGAAAAAATGAAGGCTATGCTAAGTGAAATAAAGGAAAATGTACAGGCAACCAAAAGTGACGGGAAAGAAATAGGGACTCAAATCAACGACTTGGACCAGAAGGAAGAAATAAACATTCAACCAGAACAGATTGGAGAAAATGAGGAAAGGCTTAGGAACCGTCAGGACATCTTTAAACATTCCAACATCCGAATTATAGGGGTGCCATAAGGAGAAGACAAAGAGCAAGAAATTGAAAACTTATTTGAACAAATAATGAAGGAAAACTTCCCCAATCTGGTAAAGGAAATAAACTTTCAGGAAGTCCAGGATGTTCAGAGTCCCAAAGAAGTTGGACCCAAGGAAGCACACACCAAGGCACATCATCATTTCACTACCCAAGATTAAAGATAAGGAGAATCTTAAAAGCAACAAGAGAAAAGGAGACAGTTACCTATAAAGGAGCTCTAATAAGACTATAAGCTGATTTCTCAAAAGAAACCTTACAGGCAAGAAGGGGCTGGAAAGAAGTCCAAGTCATGAAAGGCAAGGACCCACACCCAAGATTACTCTATCCAGCAAAGCTTTCATCTAGAATGGAAGGGCAGATAAAGTGCTTCCCAGATAAGGTCAAGTTAAAGGAATTCATCATCACCAAGCCCTTAGTATATGAAATGTTAAAGGGACTTCTCTAAGAAAAAGATAAAAAATATGAAGAGTAAAATGACAACAAACTCACTTACTAACAACCACACCTAAAACAAAAACAAACTAAGCAACTAGAACAGGAACAGAATCCCAGCAATGGAGATCACATGGATGGTTATTGGTGGGGGAGTGGGATGGGGAAAGAGGGGGAAAAGGTACAGAGAATAAGTAGCATAAATGGTAGATAGAAAATAGACAGGGGGAGGTTAAGAACAGTAGGGGAAATGGAGAAGCCAAAGAACTTATATGACTCATGGACATGAACTAAAGGGGGGGAATGTGGGTGGGAGGGAGTGTGCAGGGAGGAGAGGAATAAAGGGGGGCAAATGGGACACCTGTAATAGCATAATCATTAAATTGTATTTAAAATAAAAATAAACTATGAACAGTAAATGACAACAAACTCACAACTATCAACAAATGAACCTAAAACAAAAACAGACAGGAACTAAGCAAACAATTACAACAGGACCAGAATCACAGAAATAGAAATCACATGGAAGGTTATTAGTGGGGAAGGGGAGGGGGGAGAATGGAGGAAAAAGTACAGGGAATAAAAAGCATAAATGGTAGGTACGAAATTGACAGGGGGAGGTTAAGAACAATATGGGAGATGGAGAAGCCAAAGAACTTATATGTACAACCCATGGACATGAACTAAGGAGGGGAAGTGCTGGAGAAAGAGGGGGTGCAGGGGATAAAAGGGAGAAAGTAATGGGACAACTGTAACAGCACAATCAATAAAATATACTTAAAAATAAAGAAACAAAATAAAAAATAAAAACAAATTGTGTTAAAGATAACAAAATTTACCATACTATTTTAAAAGCACAATTTACTGGCATTAAGTACATTCACAATATTGTAAAGCCATCACCATTATTCATTTCCAGAATTTTTCATCACCACATACAGAATCTCTGTACCTATTAAACAATAAATTCCATCCTCACCCACCCCCACCTGGTAATCTCTGTTCCACTTTCTGAGTGGAATCATACAATCCTCTTGTCCTTTTGTATCTGGCTTAATTCACTTACCACGTCTATACCACAGAACATAACAGAATTTTAGTCCTTATGAAGGATGAAAATCCGTGGCCAGGTTGCTCAATTGGTTAAAGCCACATCCCATTATGACAAAGGTTCATTCAATACCCGGTCAGGACACATACAAGAATCCATCAATGAGGGTATCAAGTGAAACAACAAAAATCGATGTTTCTCTCTTCAAAATCAATAAATTTAAAGATAAGTAACATTCATCTGTTGGTAGACAATGGATTGTCTTCTTTTTTTGGCTATTTTAAATAAGGCTGTTATCTATCTAAATCAACACTGGTGTACAAGATTTATTTGAGTCCCCGCTTTCAATTCTTTGAGTTTATACCAAAGAACTAGGAAACTGTTGGATGACCTAACAACTCTTCAAATTTTTGAGGAACCACTATTAAATCATTTGACACAACTCCTGGCTGCACCATTTCACATCCCCGCCAGCAATGCACAAGTGTTCCAATTTCTCCACATCCTCACCATCACCACTTGTAATTTTCTTTTTTTGACTAGCCATCCCAATGGGTGTGGTACTGTACTTTATTCTGGTTTTTATTTTCATAACTCTGATGGCTGATGAGCAGCCTTTCGTGTGCTCAGTGGCCATTTGTGTATTTTCTTTGGAGAACTACCTACTTAAGTCCCTTGCCCTTTTTTTTTAATTGGATTGCTTTGTGTTGTTGTGTAACGGGAGTTCTTTACATGTTCTGCACACTGACCCCTTCTCTGACACTTTACTCCCATTCTGAGGGTTGCCTAGCTGGTTTTAAAACAAAGACAAAAACCTGTGCATCCTAGCATCGGAGAAAACTGCATCTAGGACTGCATCTAGAAGGGAAAAGAATGCATTCCTTTAGAGGCAGAACCGACTTCCCAGCAGGATTTTAAGTAAAACGTTACCTGCCCCACCCCCCACGTCTTGGGCAGTCGACCCCGCCCGCGGCTTCTGGAAAGCGGGTCCTTCCGCCAGCCGGGCGGGATCGTAAGGGGTGCAGGCCCCTTCTCGGGGTACGCCCTAGGCTTCCTCGGGATGCAGGCCTCGGGATGTGCGGGTTCCGACGGCGCCCCTCCCTGCTCGCCCCGCTTCTCACCGCTGCAAGGCGGCGGCGTCCCAGTGCGCGAACGTCGGTGGGAGGCCGGGCTTGCGGTCTAGAGCTGCACAGCAAGGCCCTGCAGAGCGAGAGCCTTCCGAATGGCGGCGAGGCGCAGTCGCGGACTCCAGACGCACGAGCGTGCGCGCGGCCGTGGGACTCGTAGACTAGGGCTGACGGGAAGCGAGTTCGGCGTTGCGCGCCCTCCGGCGAGGACCAATCAGATCCCCGATCGCAAACCGGAACTCCGCGCACCGAGCGAGTGCGCGTGGAGCGGCCCGCCCAGCCATCGGAAGTGACGTGCTCTGACAAGCTATAGGAAATTCCCGCCAGTCGGTGAAGGTTCGTAACCGTCCTGACCCTAGCAGGGTCCGCCGGCGACAGTCCTTTGTGGCCGGTCAGGTCGAGACATCCCCCACCCAGGCGTGGGGGTGCCCGACCGAGAAGGTGCTGTGCAAGGAAGTGGCCTGGGGTTTCAGGGACGCTGGCCGAAGGCGCGGGGGTAGAACCCGTTAGAGCGAAACAAACTGATCCTCACCCGCAGTTCCGCCCCTACGGTCAGAATGGGTTCCCCCGTGGGAGCAAAGGGCGCCCCGCATGGTTCATTTGTGTGAGCAAAAGGCATCTGCTGGACCTCAGTACCTGACGTCTCATCTGTTCTGCTGTTCTTTGTCCTAGTCTCCTTTTCACGCCCGATTTAAGATCCTGTGTTCTTTACTTTCTGGACATTTTCTGACTTTTAATATCTATACAGTCACTTGGGGTGCATTTTAGGAAATTTTCAGATTTTTGTTTTTGTACCAAAGTGATCTATTCATTTTTATTAGATTTCATCGCTGCCGGGAGGGGGAAAGGGGGACCACACATCATTGAACATCATTTAAACCCTTCCCATTTTTCATGGCTCCACTTTAAAATGAACACTAACATCAACAAATTCTTTATAAAAAAGAAAAGTTGAACACCCCACTAGAAATACAGGCAAAAAACAGCTTATTTACAAGAGACTAATGTCCAATAACAGTAAAAATATCTTCAGCCTTAATAATAAAGTGCAAATGAAAGCACTTTTGATGCTGTGGATTTTAAATGCAGAGAGGATCTTTTGTCTATGTACTAACTTTTGTGATTGTTACATTTAATGTTATGTTGTAAAACTCAGTATAGGTATATGTAGAGTGCCGTTTTTCTTACTTTAAGGCTACATTGTAAAATGATGGAAGTGTTCTTATTGGAAGTGATACTGCCATATCAGCATTACCAAACTTGCAACCCTTTATGATTATTGTAGTTGTTACTCCTAAAGCCACCTCATGGAAGGTAGTTTAATTTGTCAGTCTTATCACCCGATTTCCAATTAGCTGGTTAGAGCCCAGAGACTCGTAGCAATACATCATCTTATTTTTCCTGCAGTTGGTTAAGATGAACTGTCCAGGGGTGATTTGTCAATGAAATATCAATTTGCAGATATGTACTCATTTCCTTTGGTGTGTTTTTTAATTATTATTTTTTAAATTTAATTATTGTTCAAGTACAGTTTTGTTTTTTACTCCCATCCCAGCCCCTCCTTTGGTGTTTTGTGTTTTATTATCTGCAGAAGGAATCCCTTGGGTCTAGAAGTGGTTGTGGGATGTGGGGAGCTTTTGGAGCATTGGAGTTCTAGCTTTCCTTTAGTTAAGAAGCTTCTTTGGAGCTTTTTTACCTTCTGTTGTAAGATCCACTTTTAGAAACAAGCTTCTTTGTGACTGCAGGTCATAATTTGTAAGGCTGCTTTATTTTGTGAGTTTTTTTTTTTAAAGATTTTATTTATTTGGTTTTAGAGAGAGAGGGAGGGAGGGAGGGAGAAAAGGGGAGGGAAACATCAATGTGTGGTTGCCTCTTGCATACCCCCTGCTGGGGACCTGGCCTGCAACCCAGGCATGGTTCCTGACTGGGAACTGAACTGATCACCCTTCGGTTCACAGGCTGGCACTCAATCCAATGAGCCACGCCAGCCAGGGCTGTTTTTTTCTTAACTGTCAGAATGAATTAATTATCCCAACTGAACTTTCAACAATTTTTGGAAACCAGAATCTAGATTGTGATGTGGCACAAACTCTGGGTCTTTTTCATTGTTTTCTCTATTAATAAATAATGAAACACCAAAACACCCTCTTCCATTATTTTGAATTGAAAATCTGCCCCTTTCCCTCTTTGTTCTCTTTCCATGACCCCCCAAGTGATGCACTGATCCACTGATCCTGTTCTCTAAGTCCTTAAGCTGTCTTCACTGTCTTTTTTTTCTTCTTGCTCCTCTGATTGGAAGAATTCTATTGCCACGCCCTGGTGTTTGCTGATGCATCCTTCCACTTGATTTAGTCTGCTATTGAACCCCCCCTCTGTTGAAATTTTCAGTTTAGTTACTGTATTGTTCATTGTTTTAAACCACAAACTTTGAAAATGAGCACCAAAGACCTCCAGGTCTTCGATCACCAAATATGAACAAGCCAACAGAAGAACCTAGATGAGGGCCTTAGAAATGAGACTTACTTATTACTCTGTCCTGGCCTTCAGGTCTGGAAATCGCCGGATCAAAGCCCAAATGAACAGCAAGGGCCACAGCTACTTGCTGATCGGGAGGTCCAGTTTGATTCATCCCCTAAGCAGGAGCCAGCAAGCTAGCCTCCACAGGTTAAATATGGCCTGCTGCCTGCTTTTATAAATAAAGTTTGACTGGAACCACAGCCCTGTCCATTCATTATGTATTGTCTAAGGCTGCTTTCTTACTACAACAGCAGTGTAGTACATGTGGCAGAGCCCATATAAGCCTGCAAAGTGCTGCTCTGGATCACAGGTCTCTTACTGAATCCACAGCAAAGCCTTCTCTCCCCTCCCTCACCAAATTCTTGGAGCTCGGGAGTAAAGTTCAAGGAGCATGGCAATATAAAACTGTGTCAAAAAATGAGACGTTTTTAATGATAAGTGACTAATTCTTAGTTTTCTGAGAAACATTTCATATTTATTAAGGGAAATAATTAACAAAATGTTTAGATAATTAAAGCTACATTTCAAGAAGGGAAATTTCATTGTGTAAAATTCTATATAGAAAAAGTACAATAACTGGACTTCAAACTCATAGCAGATAAAATTTTTATTTAATGGTTCAAATCACAATGCCGAAAATACATGCACATTTAAAAATTTCACTAAAAGGAAAAGATACTTTAGAATGCATAGTGGCAGCAAGTTTCAAAAAGTCACTTTAAAATTACCTCAGACTGCAAAAAACAAAAATCCTAGATGTTGTGCCTAGGCTGTTGTTCATGTCCCAAAATAACACCATTTATGTTAGCAATTCTTAAACCGTAATGGCTATAAACCATAAGCACATCCATAAAAAGAAACTATTTTCATCAAGTCAGTGGCCAAATTGGTAAAAGGGCCACAATTAAAGCTGTTGAGCTTTACACAGTGTTTAGGTTCCCATCGGAGGGACTACACACAGCAGGCTTCCTGGACTCTCCGGACAGAAGGTGGGTAAGTGATGGGATTACCAAGATGATAATGGAATGAGCCGCCAGCTTCCCAGAAACTGGCTTATCGAAAACCAACAAGCAGCATAAATGAGGTACAGATCCCGACAGATTATTTGCTTACAGGTGTGTAAAATACAAGGTGTGAGTTATTCCTACAACACGTCTGAAGTGCTTCAGAATTCATACTATTTTGGTCATACTTTCTCTGTTTTGGCTAAATGGTACACAGTAATTTACACTAGAAATGGTAAAGCTCTGTTCAGTTTGTTAAAAGGCTGTTTCTGTGCCACCAGTTCCTAATTTCTTTGTAAGGAGTACATTCACCTCGCAGGTTATATTCCGGACCAACGTATACATTTCCAACCCACGGAATTTGGAATGCGAGCTCACCCTTGTCACAACCATGGCATGCACACTGACTCATTCCGCCTCTTTGCTCTTCTTGGAACCAGCCCCTGTCGAATCTTCTACCTCAGCTCTCCTCCCAGCACGACCCTCCTCAGAGAATCTTCCACCACATTCGCGTGCTCTCATGCGAGCTCCGGGCTGGTACAGCGGCAAGGATGGCCGGTCCTGCCAGGACAAAAGGGTAGGTCACTCTTCAAAGGGTGACAATGCAGGACGGAACAACATCTATATTTCTAGGGACTGAAGATCTTATTTACCTAAAGACTATATCTTGTAGCTAAAAATCAGCCTTTTTCACAGCACTATTCCAGAGCTAAGCATTTAAAGGCAAAAAAAAAAAAAAGCTGTGAGAAGAGTTTACTATGTTACTGCTCAAACCTACAACACTGAGGAAATAGTACAACACAGCATCTTCTCCTCCCAGTTTGAGAGCTGACAGGTCAAACACATACATCTCGGTGCCTTAAATTCGCCAGCCAGTGAACCCGAGGTCTGAAGCAAAATGAGGCATTGCCTCTCAGAGCTTTTAGAGTACTGAACAGTTATTAACATTCATAACAAGCAATTTCTGAGTGGATTATTCCTGAACTGTCCCCTTTATAGAAATTACTAACCCATCATCTTATTAAACTGTTAGATATGTTGGAGCAAAAATGAAGACTGAATAAAGTTCACAAAAGGCAGTGAAATAGTTCCTGGGCACGAGAGCAGTGAAATCTGGGAGGGACAGTGTGGTTCTGAAGGCTGGGATTGCTGTCCCAGTGGGAACCACTCTGGGGAAGCCAGTGCTCAAGGAGGGGGAGGGAGCAACCCCACGCCAGCTCAGCGGAGCTTAGAGCCCGGGGAGGAAGCCTCTTGCCTCAGTGCTCCTTCCTCCCCTGCCTGTATGACGGTGGAGCAGCAGCCTTGATCTTTGCACAGCCACCTGGAGTGCAAGGACACTGCAACTTGGGTGGGCACGTCCCACTGCTCTTTCTTTCACCCTTACCCACTCCTAGTGGAGGCCTCACAGTCACCACCTGAGTTTATCAGAATGTTCTTAATGTCAGCCTGGCCGATGAGAACATGGGAAAGGGGTCAGCAAGTCCCATGGATCGGAACCCGTGTTGGCCAAGATGCAGGCTTCACTGACCACCATTCTCCTGGGCCAACAGGCATAGCTCTGCTTTCCACCAGGGTTTAACACTGATGTGCATGAAGTT